TATAATATATAATTATATATTTGTTCATAAAATGTGTATTTATTACGTTATAGTCAAAATAACTTAATAGATGTATACACTTATTGTATACACTTATTGTAGTCTATTGTAATCAATGTATACATTTACTAAAGTTAACATTTTTGAGTGTGATAGTATACATATCAAAATCAATATAAAAAGTTTCTTATAAAAACAATTTTTATAAGAATGTAAAATCTATACAAATATCACATTTATATCTACAAAATATATAAAAGTTATATGTAGTTCTTCTGTATAAATAAAAAATATTGTTTAAATAATAACTTTTTCAAATTCTTATTTTACCATCGCGATCTTTTTTATACCAAATTTTTAATTACTACCGATGTAATCACGAAGTATTTAACACAATTCATTTCAATATGTTGTACTAGAAATACTACAAACATATACATCTTATTCAATCTTTATGACCGCGTTTTTCATCGCGTATTCCTTCGTGAATTCGGTGACAATATTCTTGATAGAGACTACAGGTAGCGGAGGCAGGGGGCCAGGATGTCTTTTTCTGTGGCAGATCAAACCGGGCTTTTGGGCAAATGTCTGACCACAAATATCGCAAATGTATGGTCTTTTTCCGGTATGGATCAACACGTGTTGTTCTTGAGCAGTTTGCCGTCGAAAAGTTTTTCCGCAGACAGGGCAAGGAAATGGCTTCACTCCAGTGTGTACTCTCATGTGTGAGTCCAGATCGCGTCCCCGGAATCTCTTGCCGCAAGTCGGACAGAGTACCTTCTCCCTAGTTTCATGCCACATGAGATGCTGCTCTAAATTTTCCTGCGTGGTCATACCTCGTCGACATATTCGACAGACAAACTCCGGCTTGTAGTGTCTATATTTCATGTGGGCCTTGAGGGCGTGGAGATTTTTACTGAAATGACCGCAGACATCGCACACAATCGGCGGAGCTTCGCTGTGGTTTTGCTTCACATGGTGATTCAGAGCCTTTTTTATTTTGAATTGCTTGCCACACGTATCGCACGCGTAATCGTAGTTGCTCGTGTGTAATCGGATGTAGTGATTCTTCAAGGTTCCCTTGTTATTACTCTTATACTTGCACACGCTGCACTCATACATCTGCTGCCGATGATTCTTCTCGATATGAGAGGCCAGATAACGTCGCAGGCTGAAAGTTTTCGGGCAATCAGCGCATTTGTGTCTGTGTTGCTTCAGATGTTCGACGAGGTTACTCTTCTTCAAGAATTTACGGCGACAGTGATCGCACTCTACACACGCCTTCTTTCTAATCGATCGATTCTCTTCAATTATGATTTGCTGATTAAGCTTTTCTCTCATTAAATTCGTATTTATTTCTGATATTCGTTCTTCATATTCTATTAACGACTTTTCTCTTTCCGTCCGTTCGCATTCAATTCCGACGAATGATTTTTGGATATTGGATTCAATGTTCAATGGATCCACTCTAAAACACAAAAAAGCAAAAGTTTGTGTTACCATTAGCTATAAATCAAAGGAAGAATTGCTTATACACTGTCGAGTAAAATCAGCGGGTGGAGAAGGAAGTAGCTGGGAACAATTTAATAATTATTGGAAACGATTTAATAAACATTCGGATGTTTTATTGTCGTTGTTTTTTAAGTTACCTTCCTAAACGTGATTAGAAGTCTTCAGAGATTTGCGAAAATTAAATATCAGCTTTTCATAATGCAATACAAAACTCTCGGATCACCTAAAAAAAAGAGTATCTTATCAGTACCATAATTAATTATTTGGCATAATTAATTAATGGCAAATAGTAACTTACCTGATAACGAATAAGTAAATTCTACAGATCAATATAATTATCGGGAAATAGAATAATCAGAAACAATTTGGAAAAAAGATTTGAATTAATTGTTCATATATTTCAAATAAATTCGCTGTACATGTACGAACTAATACATCAAACTGCATTCTTACAAAATATAACATCACATAACATCATTAACAGAAATTCGTAATATACTCGAGCAAAAATAAAGACATCTTATCCTATAATTGCAATTACTGAAGACGTTTATAGTAAAATCACGTATTTATTGAAAATTTATCTTCGAAAAAATTTTATATCTTAAAAAAAAGTAACGTTTAAATAAATGATTTAGTTAGTACTTTCTAGATTTAACCGTCAGACTTCGAATTAAGTATTTGGTAAATTTTTCGTTTTGCTAATGTAGTTCTTAACAAATTCACTCACGATGCCTATCACGGGTATAACCGGCAATTTTCCGAGCGGTCCAGGGTGCATTTTTCTGTGCCATAATAGGGCAGCTCTTCGCGAGTATCTCAGTCCGCATATGTCGCACGCATAAACGTTACTCATGTGTGTCAAAATATGTTGCACTTGATTCGCCCGTTTGTCAAAAGCCTTCTGGCAGACCGGACAGATGTAAGGATTGACGTCGCCATGAATGATCACGTGTTTATTTAAATTATTTTTGGTGAGAAAAGTTTCTCCGCATGTTGTACAAATGTAACTATCCATATTTCGCGTGCCTTCATGCCGTCGTAGGTGCTTCTCCAGGGAATCCATGGTGTGGAGACGTCGCTTGCAAATCTCACACTGATAACCGGTCTTCAGGTGAATGAGCTTGGTGTGTGCCTTCAACGCGGTGAAGCTATTGTAGATACGTCTACAGATGGTACATCCCACCGACAGTTTCGTGTGCTGGCTATACATATGCCTCTCTATTGCGTACTTTGACTGGAATTCCTTATTACAGGTGGTGCATGTGTTGCAGAAAGGGTCTACCAGTAAGTGGTTTACGACAAGGTGCTTCTTCATGTCCGCCTTGTTCCATAAAACAGAGTAGCACAGTTTACAGGTATATTTAGGCTCGCCGTGATGCACGACCATGTGATGCTCTAGCTTCTCCGACGTGACGAAAAGCTCGTTACATATTCTACATGTATTCTTGTGAAGATGCATGTGCTTTTTTAAATTTTCCTTGGTACGGCATGGGAACGAGCAAATGTCACAGCAATAACGTAAGCGTTTCATTACACTCCGATTTTCTTTACTGCTATCCGTGTTGATTATATCGGCGATATTCGAAGATGTGTCGATAAAGAATGCATGAGAATTCCGAATGCCTTCACTCTTGATTTCGTCCATTTCTAGCAAATCAAACCTACGACATAAAAAAATTCTTTGTCAAGAAATATACAAAAATATGAGAAATGTGCCTCACTCGCTTATACTATTTTCCTTTAAAGATTTAAATTTCACTTTGACAAAAAATTTCGATTATAGTCAACTTTAACGGAAAGTATGAGCTCTCTTAACATTCTGTAAAAAGTTTCAAAGTTTTAAAAATAAAGATTGTAGAAAATTTTGCAGTGTCTTTTTAACAATTATTAAATTTATTATTTTAGCTAATATTTCAGTATTTTATTATAAATCTTACAATAATACAAAATATTAACAAATCGCATCTTTCTTTAATATAGATATTACGATTGAAGATACTTGGAGAACTATACAGAAGGTTTAGAAATAACAAAAATTCATAAGATAACATTATTACTATTTTATTATCGTTTATTATTTTAACAATTTTAATACTGTCACTCTTTAGAGAACATGTAAATGTTATGTTAATAACAAAAATATAACATACATACTTTCTTCAATCAAAATAAGACATCAATTAGCAGTTTTCAATCTAAAAACTTAAATATAAATATTTTTATTAAAAGAAATCAATCAATATATACAACAATCAATATGAATATACATTTATAAGAGTAGCGCTCATAAATGTTTTAATACTAATATTTTTGCTGTATTTCACAAAAAGTTAAATATTTCGATGAAAAAAAATCGTAGAGAAATTTTCGATCAAGCATTGTAAAACGCAAAAATAAATCTTTAAATCTATATTTAAATTTTGTTTTACAATACTTTATTTCTAAATTACAAAAAATATTTTTATGTTATATATAGTCCGATGTTTCATCATCAAACTGCAGCACTTCAAAATAAGACAAAAAAATATTGCAAAAAATATTTAATACTATTTTTATATAATTTAGGAAAATGTAGAAAAAAATTCAAATGTAGATTTAAAGCTCTATTTTTGCACTTTAAAATGCATAATCAAAAGCTTCTCTACGATTTTTTTTATCGTATTTAAGTATTTAACTTTTCGTAAAGTATGACAAAAATATTAATGTCAAAATATTTATAAGTGCTATTGTATATACATATACAAATGATATTAATTATTATTAAACCGACAATGTTTGCATCAAGAATCATCATTGTTCTAAAATGTTTTATTTAGCAAAATATTTTTTAACAAAATATTCTAATACAATAATATAAATTTTTCCTTCTCCTTGCAAAAATTCTCTCTCTACGTAAATAAATCCTTTTAAAACTAAGATTTAAAACTAAGATCTTTTTAATATTCGTATTCATAGTCAAGTTTTGTATTTAAGGCTTCCTTAAATATATCTTCAGATGCTTTACAAATTTTATGAGCTACTAAACATCTAAAAATAGATTAAGGAGGCCTTAAATAGGCTTGACACAGTATAAGTAAAAACAGTAGTTTCATTCTATGTCGATACATTTGATTTTTATGTCCCACTCGACCATGTTGAAAACCAATAAGAGCGAAGAATCTTAGGGAATAAAGAAACTGATCACCGTGTTGAAAATTGTGCAGAACGGTCGCCACTATTTTTAACTGAGTGAAACTATTATTCTTATACTATGACTATAAATGGACATTTGTCTTAGTTTTAGAAAGATTTATTTACGTAGTCTGACACATTGCACGTCTCGAATTCGTTTTTCTTCTTTAAGGCATTAATTCCTCTTTTTCGTTTTTGTCTTCAGCAGGTTTTCGATAAGACAATCTATTGATATGTAGATAATCAAGAAGATAAAAGATCAAGATGATTCTCCTTATGTATGAAACTTCTATTCGAAGCTTTGACTGTAGATGTCGCAGATCTGATGTTGATGTACATCAGTAGATGCTGCTTTTATTTGTTCTGGATCTCCTGCTATGCAACCACACATTATCACATTGTCGTGATACCTCACGTGCGTCCTTAGAAAGTTTTTGCTGTTCAAGATCTTACCGCAGATAGTAGACGATAGTCTTTCGACTATTGTATAACTTGCTGTGCAAGCAACTTTTTTGTTATGAACTTCCTCTTACACGCATGCCAAAAAAAAACTATTGTAGATGCGACTCATATGCTGTCTTTTACACAACAGATACTGGCCATATAGGTCGCATATTATTATCGATTGCATGTATTGCACATGTCTATGGAATCCTTCTTTGGCAGGCATTACACACACATACATAACTCTAATACTCTCATAGCATGTATTTGTGTGTATAAGCAATATCGCAGGGAAATGTTATTATGCATTTCTTCGATAATTCAAAAGAATTTTAATAACAAATTGATCTCAACTCAAGAGATGAAATTCAACTTCTTCGCAATGTCCGCGGAAATGAAGATCCTTCTATGACTTTTCAAGCTATGATTTAAGAATAATAAAATGAATGTCATTGTAGATCCAAATTCTCTTGCTCAACTTCTTTTTTTTGACTATATTTCTTGAATGTTTTTTCACTATAAACTTTCACTTTAAGCTTAGATAAAATAGAGAACGAATGTGGTTTTTTTGACATGCTGGCTTTTTGTATATACAAACTTACTTTTAATTTGGATTTTTCTTCTCAGAAAATCGAACGATTGTTCTGCGACAGATTGTTCTTCGTTGAATTTTAAAGAATCCGTACCGATTATATTCCTAAAAGTTTCAGAAAAAGATTATTATTATTATCATTAAACTCTAAATATATCTGATTAATGCAAAGTATACTTACGCATATTGCCACTTTATGAAATGCTTCGTAAAATCTGAATCGTTTTCGAAAGTGGCATAGATATCCAATAAGCAAATTGTTAGCAAATTTCGCATTCTCGCTAGATTAACATCAAACTTGCAAACAGAATTGATAACAAATTCGGTGATTTGTGTTAACAAAACTTGCATTTTATTATTTGGTGTTTTTGTCGACAAAATTTGTAAATATTAAAAAATTTGTTTTCGACAGGCTTGACTGACTGGGCCAGTCAAGTAAAAGTTTAGTCAAGCATAGACTATTACAACAGGATCACAATGTTAATACTATTATTAATACTATTAATATTCTTTAACTAAATATATATGCTAACTAAATTTATTTTTATATAAGTATAATTTACAATTAAAAATTATCAAAAATATTTCTTTAAAACAGAAATCTATGCTCCTGTGCACACGACTTACTACTAGTCTAATTTTGTTGAACACACTGGAAAAAATCTGTTTGCATTAATTGGAATTCTGTTTGAAAATGAACAAATCAGAATTTTCTGGTTGAAGCTACTGTAACTCTACTCAAGATAACCAAAATTCTGATTGATATGATCAGAATTTTTCTGATTGATATGATCAGAATTTTTCTGGTCTATTTCCAACCAGAAATTTGTCTCAGTGCAGTTATATGTTAAAAGAAATAATTCTGCTATATGTCTTTCACATATGAAGTCAATCAATGTAAAATTATTCAAATTAATATTAATGTATCCTCTAAAGAACATGTATCGTGCAAAAACCGATAATAACTATTTAATTTTATGTAACATGAATGATATTTAATATATCAGGGTTTATTTTAATTCATCCAGTAAAATATTTCAAAATTCTTAAGTTTAAGACAAAACTGTTTTAGACAAAAGTTGCTCAATTACTATTAGGAGGAAAGAAAATAGTAACCTTAGTTAACTTTGAGAAGATGTCTTTAAGGTCAAGTGAAGATTACTTGAAATTTTTTTAATAGAATTGTATTTTTTTTACATTATATGATTTTTTTTAAATTATTCTGCATATAAAAACTATTAAAGTAGAGATATCGAAAGATCAATGGTTTTCGAGTTATATTATAATATTTTATTCTAGCACATATTGATATGAAGTATTAAATATCTTGTAAACTGTTCATTTTTAATAATCTGTATCTTAATTCTTTTATGCATAAAATAATGATAAATCAATTAGTGTAAAAAAATATAATTGCTTAATAAATAAAATTATGTAATTCCCAAGTAGCATAGCAGCGCTTGCAAAACACTAAAAAAGCGATTATATAAACTTTTTTAACTCTTTTGTTAATGCTTTGTAAAACGCTACAGGATTATATACTACAAAATATATATTTTTTTAAATTAAACTATGTGTTTTCTTTACATCAATTGATTCATTTCATTAGTTTGTACATAAAAGTACTACACTTATCAAAAAATGAATAGTTTACAAGATGTTTAATATTTCATATCAATATGTGCCAAAATAAAATATAAAATAACTCGAAAACTATTAACACATCTACGTTAATACTTTTCAATATATATTTATCTTAATACTTTTATATGCAGAGTAACTAAAGAAATCATATTATGTAAAAAAAACTATATAATTTCAGTTAAACAATTTTTTTAAATAACTCATTTGACTCTAAGGACATCTCAAGATCACCATCTCCTTTCCCTTTAGCAATTTTTATCTTAAACTTAAAAATTTTCCAAAGATAAATTAAGAGATATTCTATTGGATAGATTAAAATGGATCCTATATACAAATACTATGTGACATTTAAACAATTAATTCGTATTCTTATATAAAAATGAAAATATTATTTCTCTACATATAATAACACTAATTCTACGTATATAATAGAAAACTTTACATAATAGGTAAAATTTTGTTATACAGCATTATATTTAATTTTAACACAATATACTTTTCATTCAAAAAAATTATCATTTTACGAATTCTAAGAGAATTCTCTAAGATAAAAAATAAGAAAAAAAAAATTAATAATGTGGATATATAATAGTATCTCAGTATATTTTACTTTTAATTATAACTGAAGATTCGAAAAGGAAATTTCTAAACTAGATTAAATAAAAAGATCTTTCAAATAAAATGATGTTTTATTTTAAAAATGTCTGACAATACAATGTCAAATTTATATAATATTCATTTCATTTAATATTATATAATTTTGTTATTGTTTTTAATTTATCTTCAAAAATATATTTCCTGATCGAACTGTCAGAGTAAATTGAATCCTTTAAAAGAATAAAATATTTATCTTAATGTGGCAAAACAAAAAAAAGACATTTCTTATTCATAAAAAAAGCACTTTCTAAAAATTATTATTGATTTAAAATCAATAATTACTAATTTTTCTGTTTAATTTTTAAATCTAATCTTAAATAACAGAATAAATAATTAAGTATTTGTTTATTATCTTATATTCTCTCCAATTGCAAAATTTTTTAATATCATGCAGATTGCGAATCTAAATTTATATCAATGAATGAAATAATATATGAAATGTTCATATAAAATATATTTCTAACATAAAAGAGAAGAAAAGAAATAAGATTTTGAGTATGCCGATTACATGTTCTTTTTACATTTACTTTCTATTTAAATTGATCTTCTATAAAATAATGTTACATTGAACAGAAAACTTATATAACTTTAATTTACCAATTGTACTTACATTACTTTATAATTAATTTGTATTATTGTAGCTATTATTGTACATTGCATTCTTTTTCTACTTACAAAATCAATGCACCGATAAATATATTGTGTTATTGGTCTTATTTTCCTTTTATCAATAAAATAGTATTAAGAACTGCTCAAAAAAATTATGGCATAGAAAATTTTGAGCAGATTGGCCAACTTTGTCCAAAATTGCTGACATTATCTGCATTACCGAACATGCATCACGGTTGCTAAATGGATTTTGCACATCGTGTTTCTGAGTGATATAAACTTCAGTAATTCGTGTTGCCTCCGCGTTGTTCGATTACTGCTTGCAGTTGACTCCTCATATTAATGCAGGTCCTAATTTCTTTCTGCGTAATGTCATTCCAGATTTGTACTAGAATTTGTGACAAGTTTCTAAGATTGACAGGTTGTCTTGCCAAATTTCTTAACACGCAACATATTCAGTAATACAGATAATTGACAGTTGATAGTATATGTAAAAAATGCGAGGGGCTACTTTAAAGTGTTGTAACTTGCAAAAAAAATCGCAGCAATTCGTATTTTTTTTAATTAAAGGGAAAAGTTCGAATTTTATGCCGCTGCAAATGGTATTCCTCTAAAAAGTTTTATAAAGTTCGCACATTCCGTCAAACTTTGCAATTTTCAATATGACAAACACACTCTCATATTTTGAATTACAGTGGTAGAGGTGCATTAAATTTAAAATCTGGCCATAGCATCTTAAAGTAGAGATTTCAAACATGAATTAAAAAAAAAAAATGTTATGTTTTTCCTACGATATAATTTTCCACAAAGTCAGTCAATCAATGTTGGCCAATTTTTGCCCTAAATTTTTCTATGCCATAATTTTGTTTAGCAATATATATTGAATAATAATCAAATAAAAATTATCGTCGAAATAATGTATAGCTATATTTCTTCATTAATTTTAGTAAGTCCACAGATATAAACATTATGTGATGTTATATAACCTTATATAATTCGAAATTTACTGATTAAAGAAATGTACAGTTTTAATTTTACTGTAATAATAATCATCAAGATGCGAAAAGCCGACATAAATGATAAGATCACTTCTTCTATTCTTCTTAGAAAGATGTAATTTACAATTGCTAGCTACATATCTACATTTAAACTTATTTATTATATATATATTCAGTTATCCTAAACGATTATTCAAACTTTGGAAATAAAGAAATAATTATACATTACAATCATATTCTTATCGTCAATGGAATATTTTTATCAGTACATTCTTATTACAATGAGTAATTACTGGTCAAATTTTAAAATTGTAACTATTTTTTGACAAATAATGTTTATAATTCTATAATAACCTACATTATATGTAGATTTATTAGTGATAATTATAAAGAATTTCATAAATATCAAATTCATATCGATAAAATTGGATTTTTAAAGAAATAAAATTAAATAATTAGAAGAAATTTGAATAATCGACAACTTGTTTATTGATATTTTCTCTTTCTTTATTTTGAATTTTCAGAATCACGAGTTTTATTGACACTTAACTCTTCATTTTCTATTGTTCATTGTTTATGTTTTTCTCTTTTGCTTTCACTTTTTACATTTGTCTAAAACGCAAAAACAATATGCCAAAAAAATAAATAATTAATAAAAAACAAAGGAAAGAGTAAACAATATGAAAATTCAAAAGAGTCTAATTGTATTATTAAAATACATGTATAGTAATCAATACATGATCCTGCGTGAAAACATAAGACATATAAATAAAAATTCCGCTTGTGATTGCCGCTTAAGCTTTTAATATTTCTGTACTAACAATAAGTACATGAAATTTGTCAATTTTTATTTTTATTCCGTAATAATCACATGCTTTTGCTGTTTTAGACACTAGTAAAAAAATATATACTTCAACATATATCCACATGACGAATTAAATGTTCAATACTTCTTCCTCATTGATCTCCTCTTCGTTCTCTGGCGCGTTCATTTCCTGTACATATCCATCAGTGAATTCTTTAACAAAATCTGCGATTGGCATCACGGGTAATGGCGGATGCTGGCCAGGATGAGTTTTTCTGTGGCAGATCAAGCCTGGCTTTTGCGTGAATGCTTTGCCACATATGTCACATACAAATGGACGCTTGCCGGTATGAATAAGCAGATGCTGACGCAACTGGGATCTTCGTGCGAAGGGTTTGCTACAGATCATACAGGAATGCGGTTTGCATCCTGTATGTACCACCATGTGTCTCTTGAATGAATCTTTCTTTGTAAAAGTTTTACCACATTCCGCGCAGACTATCTTGTCGCGTTTTTCGTGCTGTGTCACCAAATGTTGATCCAGATTTTCTTGTGTTACCATACGTCTTTTACAGATGTGACACTCGTATTGAGGTTTGTAGTGTGCCCACTTTTGATGGACGTAAAGCGAACCGGAATTAAGGCACAGTTTACCACATACGTCGCACTTGACCGGCTTCTCTTTATGATGAAATCGTATATGATTCGTTAGATCCCCCTTGACCTTAAACTTTTTTGAGCAGAAACTGCACTGATGCTCGTACTTGTCCGTATGTTTCCTCGTAAAGTGAGACTGCAAGGAATGCTTCGATCTACAAATAAAACCGCAAGCACTACAAGGAAATTTCGTATTGGTAGACCGTCTTCGGGACTTCCAAGTTTCATGCTTCCTATCCAGATGAGCGGCAAACAAACTCTTCTTCTGAGTTTTAAAGCCGCACACAGCGCATATATAAGCATCATTCTCTATTATGCACATCTTCTTTTTATGACTCCATGCTACGTGTTTTCTAAAGGCTAAAATCGTATCAAATGTCTCCGAGCACAATTTGCACTTCATAGCCTCACTGGAATTCTTGGCAGGTGTTTTCATACGCGATGCTTTATTGCTAGGGGAGGGAGCAATGCTAGGTACATCTAGCATTGCTTCCTCAAGATATTCTATTTCTCCCTCATCATCATTTATATCCTCCATCTGATCTTCGGTTGTTTTCCCATCTGTCTCTGTATTGGACGCAAGTTTCTCGATAGTCACCATACTACCCTCTACTTTCACCTGATATAAATCTCCAGCTGTTTTGCCATCCACAGCTTCATTGATGCCGTTTAGTATGATCGGTTTTATATCCAATTCCTCTATTTCCTCAACATTTTCGTTAAGAATGCTCTCAACATTGTATGATTTCTCTTCCGTACAAACGTATTCCTCCTCCGAGTAATTCCGTTTTACATTATCTATACCAATATTCCCATTTTTTATTATTTCTACTTCCTCCTCTAATGATTCTACTTGATCTAGTATATCTTCGTCCGGTAAAGGCACATCGCCTTCAGGAACAAACGCATAATACGGTTTGCCATCAAATTCCAAAATTTGCCACGTCTTCATCACCAGCGATTCATTACCAAAGATGAAAATGCCACGAGAATTATACGCGCCTTGGTGTCTGAAACATCACGGAATGAAATAATTATTAGAACAATTATATGTGATTTTTATTTATACCGCAAAAAATTATAAGCTAGAAGTTATCATTTATTCTCTAATATAAATTTAATCAGAGATCACAGATCAACGAAGGTACTCACAAACGAGGAGCTAAAACTACCCTTCTTGTTGATCAGCATTACACTCCGTTGCAACCTACATTAGTTATGAAATTGTCATAAAATGGGAAAATTCGAAACAAAATATTTAAAAAAAAATAAAGTATTGCACACAAGTACACATCCAGTATAATCAATACAATTTATTTTAACAATTTTAGAAATATCCAGTTAGAGTTAGCTTATTTCTAAATAATACATTATATTATACTACTAAAAACATTGATGAGAAATGAAAAATGGGTCAAGTAATATTTAGAACATAAATAACAATAGAATACGAACTATAAATGTCTCATAAACAATGTTGTTTATAATTGCAATTGACTTAAAATTCGTGTAATTATGATGCTTAAACTTTAAAAGCAAATTAAAAAAAAAATAAACGTAAGTTTATTATTTTTTTAAATTTTTACATATTTTTGAATAATGAAATATTTGTATATTTATATATTTTTGAATAATGAAATATTTGTATATTTATATATTTCTATAATATTCTTTTATTTACACATTTTTTTCGAAAAACTAAAAATTTCAAGGTAAAATTTTAAAACTTAGATTATCATAAAATAAAATGCATCAAATGAAAATATTAAACTCAATGTAAAAATATTAATAAATCAAAATAAGAATTAACAAGCTTCACACATATCTCGTAATATTAGAAATCATTCATAATAAGTTTTGTTTTATTATTATCTTATTATAATAAGATTTGTGATTTCGCAAATTTCATTTTTACAATTAAAACTTATTTTTAAAAATTCCGTTTTTACCATAAGTTTTTATAATTTTTTATAAAAATGTAATCCATTTAAATTTTTCATCTGTATCAACGCTATCAGTCATAATATATTACAAACAAATGCCTCGTAATTCGTTTTTTGTTTTATATTTCAGCGATTAACCAACGGTATGATTTTATTGTACGTAGATACATGTGATAATTATTTATTTATTTAAAATTATTTAAATTATTTATTTAATCATTTTAATCGTTACGAGAGAGAAAAACAAAAGATGAAAATCGCAAAGCACCGATGACGTTTTCAAATTATGCGATTTTATTTCTTAATGAATTCCTTCAGTATATGGTCGATATGCATCACCGGTAAGGGCGGCAGATCGCCCGAGTGAATTTTCCTGTGACAGATAAGACCGGCCTTTTGAGCAAACGTCTTGCCGCATACGTCGCAGGCGTAGATACGCTCGCCGGTATGCAGAAGGAGGTGCTGGCTCAGGCTGCTGTGCCTGGCAAACGCTCTGCCGCAGACTGTGCAGCTATACGGTTTGTCGCCCGTATGAATTCTCATATGCTTCCTCAAATCGTAATTTTCGAAGAAGGTCTTGCCGCATTGCTCACACACCGACTTTTCCTTCCTCTCATGCTGCGTCAGCAAGTGCTGATCCAGATTTTGTTGTGTTACGAGCCGTCGATGGCACAACGGACATTCATATTTTGCCTTGTAATGCGCATGTTTCTGATGAGTGTATAGACTGTGGCTATTTCGACAGGTTTTGCCACAGACACCACACACCACCGGTGACTCCTGATGATTCAACCGGGTATGGGTGGTGAGGTCACCCTTAACTTTGAACCCCTTGCCACAATGCTCACACGAGTAAGCATAATGTTGAGTATGTTTACGGATGAAATGCGACCTCAGGCTCTCTTTGCGGGTGAACACCAAGCCGCAGACGACGCAGGTAAACTCGCGCTTGTCACCGGCGAATCTGTCATTGTTTGCGATTCCGTCGTGTTTCTCGGCAAGATGCGCGATCATCGTGGATCTCTTATTGCAGCGAAAATCGCACGTTACGCATGGGAGAGGTGCTTGCTTTTGCGGCACCTCATCAGTGAATGTAGAATTTTCTTTCACGTCCGTTTCACATCCGCGCATAATCTCCGCCGTGTGCGTGAGTTCATGACGTTTCAGTAAGTACTTGCTCTTGAAGTATTTAAGACAGATATTGCAGACGAACGAATTGCATTTTTCTTCATAACCCTTCTGTGACTTCTTTTCTTGTTTACATGCAAAAGTCGATGTTTTTGCTCCAGTTTTATTCGTCTCCGCTTCGCTGGCAAAAATATCCGCTGTCGGTTTCCTACAACATTACAAAGATATATCTTTATTACGGTTCCACAGCTGGCAAGTATACAGATCTTGGACTACTTACATTCAAATCTAAATTTGCGAAGACACATTGGTACGAGAATTAAATTTATTCTCACCCCTCTACTCGGGGTTTAAAAACAAAAATTTTGTTGATGTGGAAAGCTTATAGGATAACAATGACGTTTTTTTTTTTTATGTAACCAGATGCAATCACAGCTAAGGCTATTTTCGTCTTCTGATCTTTGAAGACAAAGGTAGCTGTGGTAACTTCTGATTGAATAAAATGATTAATCGCAATGGATCACAGAAAGATTGTAACACTTTTTAGATGAATTTCGGAATGCACTCTGCTCACTGGAGTTGCTCACTTGGTTTTTATCATTCTTACTCATATGGATTTAACCAGTTTAACTGTTCTACGAACAAGGTTTTAGCTCCGAAACCTATTGAAAAAAAGTGTTGCAACCTTTCTATGACTTACTATACATAATATTAAACTATTAAATATATTAGCATAGTAACATAATTTTATAATATATATATAATATAATATTAGAAAATAAAATAAAACTGTTATAGCAGAATTGTAAATTAAAGTGCAAATTTATAACTCGATGAATTTGTAATAATTGTTTTTTTTTAATTTCATAATTCTTAATCCTGAATATTTCATATCGTGAAAATTAATAATAAAAGAATTGGAAAGTTATAAAAGAATTATTTCATAAGAATTATTTGTGATTATTTTCAACCTAGAAATTTGTAAACTTCTACAAAATTGAAAAAAAGAATGCCATAGTTTAAAAATTAATATTTAATAATTATATGTAGTTCTAAAAATATTTTTAGTTATCTATCAAAATTATAATAGAAACCGAAAAAAATGTTGTTCTTATAATAAGATCTCATAATCATAGATTTTTCTTCAAGATAGAAACAAAAATTATTCCAAAAGCACGTATAATTGACCTTCCTGTAATAAAAATAAAAAATGAATATTAATATAATGTTTCCATAAGGATTTGAGCAATTTTAATATTATTTATGTCAATTTGAAAGATTAAAATAGGACATATATTTTGCTATTATTTTATGAAAATAAGGATTGAAACATTTGCTTTCAATTTCTGTAAATACAGAAATTCTGTAAGTTTCTGAAATTCTTTTTGATATGTAAATCTTTTACTTCAAAAAAATTGTAAATAAATGTGTATAATAAAGCCTCTTCTTGACATGTGAACTGAAGTAAATATTCTATTCTATAATTTGTTATACTTACACATAATTGTTAATTATTTACACATAATTGTTAATTACTATTTATGTATCATATAAAACAAATTTATAAAAACATTATTATGATTTATTTCTCATAGTAAAAATTGTATTTATAAAAAATTTTGTAAGATTTTATGAAAAAATATGCGATATTAAATTGCAAATAAATTTTCTCCATCATTCAGAGAGATTATTTTTATTGACATACTACTGTGTATCACTATAACATTTATAACCTTATCTCATTATTATGCGATATTCACGTAACAATTATAACGATCGTAAAATCTAACATTTATTTGAAGATTATATATGTATTTTATTTTTAATCATGCTCGTAAAGTAAACAAAACGATCCACTTTATCTTACATACATATACATACATACATACTAGTATGAACATTAAAGATAGTGATGAAAAGTACTAGATAATAAAAGTACTAGATGATAATAAATGTATATTTTGAGTTACATCTCACCGATGTGAAGGTTTGCTCTATCGCACCTCTCCCCTCCCTAGGGTCGTCCGACTTTTCACGCGAAATTAGAAATTCACCTCACCTCTCCTCGCTGCTTAAAGGAATATAACTTCTTGCCATATATAATATAACTTCCCTTGTCAATATTATCCTTTACATATTATGGAATTTTAATTTATTTTTTCTTTTAAACAATTACCATCCCTCACTTAATTCTTGTAGAGAATTATTCAGAACACTTTCCCCTACAACATATCTGAGCTGCGTTTGGAAACGTTACCCGAGTGTTTCCATATATCGTTTTATCCTTGTTGCTCATCCAATGTTAAACAAGAATAATGATACATGGGAACACCCTGAACGTTTTCGAACTCTGATGGTGAAATTAAACCGTTAAAATCGGTGAGGTGTAATTTAAAGTATGCATTTATCAATAAAATTACAAATTAAATTTTTAAAACGTAATCTGAAATTGTTAATATATAGTGACGAAATTCTATACTATTTTTTTTAAAATGAGTGTCTTAGTGAAATTATTTCATGTTTGAAACTTTTTCACTTTTTCATAAAATCGTTAAGAATGTGATCGATGTGCACCACTGGTAAAGGAGGATGCTCTCCAGGATGACATTTTCGATGACATATTAATCCAGGTTTTTGCGCGAAGGCTTTCCCACAAATATCACAAATATACGGTCGTTTTCCCGTATGAAGTAACAGATGCTGTCTGTAAGCAGTTCTACGCGCAAAAGCTTTGCCACAGATATGACAGTCATACGGTCGGTCACCGGTGTGGGTCATCATATGCTGTTTCAATCGATGATTGTCATTGAAAGATTTGCCGCACTCTTCACACGTGAAACTCTTTCTGGACTCGTGCTGTAGAAAGATATGTTGATCTAAATTCTCCTGCGTGACCAAACGCCTATTGCAGATTTCACATTTATATTTGGGCTTGAAATGCGCCCACTTTTTGTGCACATACAGTGAATTAGTATTGGAGCAGGTCTTATTGCAGATATCGCATACTACTGGGTCCTCCATGTGCTTGAAACGTACATGTAATCTCATATCGCTTTTCACTTTGAATTTTTTGCCGCAATGCTCACAGTCATACTTATACTCGGATCCGTGTTTACGATCGAGGTGTTCTTTTAACCGTCGTCGGTTTGGAGATTCAAATCCGCAAAAGTTACACAAGTATTCCTGCGGCTTTTTTCTTCGTTTAATTACACGATTCGTGGAATGTTTCCTATTAATATGCGAATAAAAGGTCGATTTGTTGGTACTTTCAAAGGTACAGAAACTGCAGGTGAACGTAATAATATCTTTATCTTGTTTGTGCATTAGATCCCAATGAAACTTTAACATCTTCATCATGGGAAAGGAAATATTGCACTTATCACAAGTATAAACCTTGGTCTCCTTCTTATTGTCAAGTTGAGCTTCATCCGAATCTAACTCGTCTGCCGACAAGATTTTTTTGTTTTTATTTACTCTATAGACATCGTTCGATACGTCTGTATAAATTACACTGTTATCATCTGTAATTTCTACCATATTATCAGTCTCGATTTTCAATATTTCAACAATCTGTTTCTGATTGTATTGATTTTCTTCTGTTTTCTTTGATATGTGATTTACTGGAAGAAAGGCATAACAGAGACATCCTTCTAAATCAACTACTTTCCACAGTTGCATTGGAATAGATTCTTTGCCATATAGAAAACATCCATTTCCATTTATGACCCTGAAAATAATACAATATGTTAGTTAGAAATTTTATTTATCGAATAAAAATAGTTTTAAAATTTTTATTTCGTAATTTTGTCTCTTTTATCCTTCTAAATAAATTTAATATTTAAAATTTAATATTTGCGAATAAAGGATCTTTTTATATAAATAGAGTGTAGGTGCACATTTCAGATAAAACATAAGTTTGTGATTTTGTTAATTATTTATCATTTTCCAATTATTTCTTCTATCTCTCAAAAATTACAATCAACAGCAAGTCAATAATTACACTTATTTCTAGTGGTAAGCAAAAATTTGTTTTATATTAATTTATACATTCTGTAACGCTAAACAGTTAAATTACATTCGATTACATTAATCACACACACACACACACACA